GCAAACTAAGTTTGCAATTTGAGATTCTCTGAAATACCTAGATGATGCAAATCCAGGCTGAGTTCTTTGAAAACACAAGTGTATGGCCATGATATTTCAGAAATTTTTTCTTTCTTTCTTTTTTTAACCTCTTCTTCACTCAGTGCCAAGAGTCTTCTCTATATCCCCTGCAGGTGAGGCAAGAGGATGGGTTTCCGGATGATTCACTTTTACCTCAGTGATGTAGCCTTTTGAGATTCCAGTTTAATATGGGAAAGGTCTCCTTTAATGAGATTCCCCACCTGAGTGGGTCCTTGCCTTGACTTCTGGATTCATCAATCCACAAGGCTGGCCAAACTGAAGCCCCAGCTTGCCTGGATTTGCAAATCTCAGTCTCCTTCATGTGGGGCAAAATTGCATTAGTGTTCTGATACTTCACTTACCTCCCTGGGTCTCCTTTTTACTTATATTTTGGCTTGAGCTTCTTGTCAGCAGTTTGATGCTTTTTATGAATGTTTTAAATGATCTTATCCAGGGGCCCCTGGCTGGCTCAGGCAGAAGAGCATGCAACTCTTGATCTTGGGGTCATGAGTTCGAACCCCATGGTGGGTGTAGAGATTACTTAAATAAATAAAACTTTAAAAAAATAAATTATCTTAACCAGCATTTTAAATTGTTTTCTATGGGAGAGCTAGAGCAAATAATCTAGCTTACTGGATTTAAACCCTCTTCTCCAGAAACAAGTTTGGTATCACCATTCTTGAATGTTCTTCTGCTATCTCATATCTAGAAGTTTTTACCACCTCACATAGTTTCAGCCTCTTTCTGTCTTGCTTGTGCTTCTCTCCCTCCATTCTTTCTCCTTTCACTGTCCCTTTCCTCCATCTTAGGAGCAAAATCAATAAATTCCCTGATTTGTTTCCTACAAAGTAGTTTTCCCCCTTATCCAAGACATCCAACTCCATAGGATCGTCTCTACCTCCAGCTAGCTTAACTAGCATTTCTCCAAAAGGGTTTCCTTCCCCCAAAGGGTAAGCACAGTGTGTTTAGAAGTCTCTAACTCAGCCTGGAGAGATATAGAAACTATCAGAAGTGGGTATTGCTTGAGCTAAGAGTTCTGAAGAATGAGTAAGAGTTAGTGGAATCTCCCACATCTCTCCAAGCTCAAGTAATGACTGTCCCAACTGCCCCCATTTCAAAGCCATCTCTATCACAGTTTCAGCAGCTGGAACAGGAAATTCCTTACAGACATATGCAGTTAATGTATTGAATTTCACATTGGAATCAGGAATGTGAGATAAGGGAAATCTGTAGATTAAATATGAACCTCAAGTTTCTGAGTCAGTGTAATCTCCCTTAGACAAGTAGTCCCTTGTTGAGACTCTGAGAGGACAGAACAAAAATTCCTAGTGGCAACTGGTAGTTCTGAAGTTGAGCCAGCCTCATGAAATTCTGGATCTGTCTCCCAAATCTTCCCCCAACTCAAAGGTACTTCTGAAGAAAACAGTTGTTTACAGAGCCCTAGCAAAGAAAAGTTAGATTTAAACCCTGTTCTCTAGAAACTTTCACATTAGTGAAACAGACATATGTACTAATAATTTCAGTACAATATGATGAGTGCCATATTGGGATGTATTTAATGTGTTATGGGCCATACAGAAGAAGTAACCCAATTCTTTGGGTAACTGGGATAACTACCGAAGAAGAGATATAGCTTAAACTATATCTGTATAGTAGCTTAAATGATGGATAAGGTGGGGAAAGGTAGGGACGCCTGGTCGGCTAAGTCGGAAGAGCATGCAACTCTTGATCTCGGGGTCATGAGTTTAAGCCCCACATTGGGTATAGAGATTACTTAAATAAATAAATAAATAAATAAATAAATAAATAACTTAAATTCCCCCCCCAAAATATAAATAAATAATAAATAAATAAATAAATAAGCAAGCAAGCATGTCATTGTACAAGCAGATGTTCAAATAAAAGGCCAATAGTTTGGTGTGGCTGGAATCCAAATTTAAGGAAGAGGGAAGGGGACAATGTCCCAGGTAGGAGGGGACCACCCTGTTGTCTTTCACTAAACACTTTCATAAGTACCCTGTGTTTTTTAAATAACATTCTTCCTAGTTTGTACTTCTTGTTCAATGTCTGTTCTTTGCAATATTCTTCCTTAGTACTGGGACGTCAATAAATACTATCTAAAATTAATAACTCAAGAACAAATATAAGAATATCATTTTTAGTTGTAATAATAACAAAAACTAAAACTAAATAATAACAAGAACTAAAGTTTAGTGACTATCTAAAGAAAGTGGGACTATGTTATAGGGTAAAGGGATTTGAGAGGAAAAAAATTTTTTTAAGATTTATTTATTTATTTGACAGAGAGAGACAGCGAGAGAGGGAACACAAGCAGGGGGAGTGGCAGAGGGAGAAGCAGGCTTCCCGCCGAGCAGGGAGCCCGATGCGGGGCTCCATCCCAGGACCCTGGGATCATGACCTGAGCCTAAGGCAGACGCCTAACGACTGAGCCACCCAGGCGCCCCTTGAGAGGAAATTTTTATTTAATTTTTTATATTCTGTTTTGTTCAAGTATGTTTTCATGTGTATGCAATGTTTTTAAATTAAAAATTTTATTGAGGTTAAAAAAAAAACCTTACAGTAACATGAAGTTAAAAACAAACTTAAAGTGCCCAGATCTTAAATGTATGGCTTATTAAATTTGTATACATGTAAACATCCACATAACCACTATCCCGATCAAGTTATAAAGTATTTCCAATTCCCCAGAAGATTCCCTGATGGCCCTTCCAAGCCAGTACTGCCCCCGCTATTCTGACTTCTACCACTATCATTTAGTTTTGCTTGGTTTTCACTTCATTTACATGGAATTATACGTTATGTACTTCTTTAACTTTTTTTATTGATATATAATGTAGTGAAGTATACTGATTTAAATGTTAGTGCAATGAATCTTTATATATTTCCAGAACCCCAGAAGATTCCCTTATGCCTCTTCTCAGTTAAGACTATTCAGATACTAAGATAACCACTACTTTGAGTTCTACCACCATTGCTTATTTTTCCCTGCTCTTGAGCCTCATATAATGGAATCATACAGTATTGTGGTGGTCATGGAGGATTTTCTTTAAGAGAACCTGCTGCAGGAAGCACAGTTGACTAAGAGCCTCTACCTGCTGCCTCGTAGATCTCCCTCCTGAGATCAAGCTTTCCTGGGCTGCTTCTAGCCAAAGGCTGAGCATGGGGGTGGATATTAGAGCCTGGCCAATCCTGCCCAATGGGGGACTCCTCCAGTAGACCACTTCTGCTCAGGTCTGAGCAAAGAGACTCTCAGAAGTACCCTGCAGTCTGAGACTCTTCCTACTCAATCCTTCCCTCCTTCTCTCCTTTCATAGGTTTTAGACCTGCATTGAAGCCTTGCCATTCCTGCTCCCTTGCCCTTTATTCTTCACAGGCTCTTCCCTTACTAAGACTTTTGCACATCCAATTCTGTTTTGGCACCTGCCTCTCAGAGGACTCAAACATAAATATGTTCTTTTGTGTTTGGATTTATTTGCTTAGCACTGTGCCTGTGAAAGTCATCCATATTGTTATGTGTAGCAGTAATTTGTTCTCTTTTCTTGCATAAATATGCCACAATATATGTATCCATCCTAAAGTTATTGGACATTTGAGTAGTGTTCAGGTTGGGGCTCTTAAGCTCATGTTTTGTTTTGTTTTTTTAAGATTTTATTTATTTATTCATGAAAGAGAGAGAGGCAGAGGGAGAAGCAGGCTCCCAAGGAGCAGGGAGCCTGATGCGGGACTCGATCCCAGGACCCTGGGATCATGACCTGAGCCGAAGGCAGACGCTTAACCATCTGAGCCACCCAGGCGCCCCCAAGCTCATGTTTTTGTATATGTGTGTCTTTTGGTGGAGACATGCACTCCTTTCTCTTGGGTATGTGCCTAGGAAGTGGAGTGGCTGGCTCATAGGCATGTGTTTAGATTTAGTAGATACCGTCAAACAATTTTCTAAAGCAGTTCACTCCCAACAGCATTTATGAGAAGTCCTGTTACATATAATATTTTTACCAATCTAAAAGAAAAAACAACTCGAGTACCAAAGACAGAAATCAAATTTGTTATATCATCCTAGCTTCGTGTTTAAATTACCATTTTAGACACTGCTTCACAGGAAGACTGTTAACGTAGCCCCAAATTGTTAACCGTGGTTATATTAGAGGAAGAAGGGGAGATCACCTTTGACTTTGAGAAATATTTGAAATACTTTACAACAAGCATATATTTCTTTTACTTTTAATTACCTTGTCTTAAAAAATATTAAAGAGAAAAGGTTCATGATGAGAGAACAGCATTCTCCTCCCACACTCCCTGCTCCCCTCAGGCCCACACCTCCCGGCTTGAATACCTTTAATTACCTTCTAGTTTCCGAATATGTGTTAGAATCTCTCTTTTTTTTTTTTTAAGATTTTATTTATTTATTGAGAGAGAGAGAATGAGAGATAGAGAGCACAAGAGGGAAGAGGGTCAGAGGGAGAAGCAGACTCCCTGCTGAGCAGGGAGCCCGATGTGGGACTCAATCCCGGGACTCCAGGATCATGACCTGAGCCGAAGGCAGTCGCTTAACCAACTGAGCCACCCAGGCGCCCAGATGTGTTAGAATCTCTTATCTGCTGCCCCGTTCTCTGTATCATTGTGTGTTTACATCTTTTCTATTGTTTTACTTTATTTAGTGAGGTTTCAAGAGGGAGAGAAAATTAATATGACCAATCTGCCACTTTTAGTCAGAAGCCCATGCATACGATCCAGGCTGATTTTTGGACATTATCATGTAGGGGAAGTAATGTATTGAAAAATAGTCGGCTGTTTGTTATAAAGACACTGTTCTGGTGACGGGGGGCGGGAGGGGAGGTCGGGGGGGACTGGGGGTCAGGGATGGCCTGAGAGGGGAGCACCCAGAGGCTTGTGGGAAGAATGGTTCAAGGGCTAACAGATAGTTAGGAAGGCACTGAGGTCAGCTTCTCACCGAGCCGCAGCAGGAGGGAGAGAGCAACATAGAGGGCACAGAGAAGTCGTGCGTCAGGGTCCCAGCCCATATCATGGGGCTGCTCATTCCAGTTCTGCTCCAGGACAGATCCACCTGGAAAGAAACACACCAGACTGTAAAGCTAGGAACAAGGAAACATACCAGAAATGGCAAATACTTGGCCACACTTCTTGATCCTGGGTGGTGGCAGATGTAGTAATCCATTATGGCACTTTTTCCTGCAGATCCTGGAAAGCCTTATACTCTCTCAACATAGTGACAGGCACTGCTAATCAGTGTTGGCACTGTCATCCTGGGACTAACAGCTCCACCCCCACCCCACCCATAGGCTAGCAACAGAGTCTAAAAAGCCCACCCCAAGTTGTCTTGGAAACCAAGTGTTCCAGGGAATTGCCACAGGCCAGCTGAATGGATGCGAGCTGACAGAGAGCTACGAAGTAGGAAGAACTGTACCCTGGGACTTCTGAGTCCCTTGAGAGCATGGCCATTCACTTCTGCTATGACCCTGGCCCTCAGCCCAGGCTGTCTTACCTGGTCCTTCAACAGGGGCAGGGTCCCCTTCTCTAGGGCCTCAGCCACAAGAAGCTGCTCCTCAGACGCTTTGGAGGCAAAAAAAGAGGGTGAATAGGGTGGCTGGCAGAGAGGAGAAGCACACAGTGGGACGGGGCTTCAGTGTCTCGTCAGACCTGGGACAAGCATCAGAAGGAGGTTCCAGAGGGCCCCTGGCAGTGATAGATGAGTTATTCCAAATGGGCTCTTGCTATGGCGCCTGCTTCCCTCTTAAGCCTGCAGGAGGTCAGACTGTGCCAGGAGGTAGAGGAGGCATCCCCTAATCCCTGGCCTAGGGAAAATGGCCAGGTTCTAAAATGTGAAGGTCTATCATGCACAAAATGTAAAAGGCAATGTATGGCCCCTTCCTCCTAGGATTTGAATCCCCACAGACCCCTCTGCTCTGAAATTCATCCACACCAGCATACAGCCACATCCCTCCTCACTAATCAAAGCATCCAGGATATCCAGAATGGATTCTGTATGTGCCTTTACCAAGAACCCAGCAGCATTGAAAAGGCTACTTATGAGAAGACCTGCTAGACCCTCCATCTCTAGATGAGTCTAGACCCAGAGATCAGGACCTCAAACACCTAGGGCCAGCAAATGGGGGAGATGAGCACCAGTCCCACTTTAGCAGAGAGTGGCAACTGCCCTCTGAGGCAGCTTAGCACATCTTTTTGTTCCTTCTCAGTCAGATCCTAGAGGCCTCCCACCATGTCCTGCTCCTTCTCCTTCATGTTTCTAAAATCCTCTAAACTCAAGGACTTCCCTATAGAGACAGCAATTAAGAGTTTGACTTACCCTTGGGGCGCCTGGGTGGCTCAGTCTGTTAAGCAGCTGCCTTTGGCTCAGGTCATGATCTCGAGGTCCTGGGATCAAGCCCCGCGTCAGGCTCTGTGTTCAGTACAGAGTCTGTTTCTCCCTCTCCCTCTGCTGCTCCCCCTGTTCATGTTCTTTCTCTCTCTCTCTCTCAAATAAATAAATAAAAATCTTAAAAAAAAAAAACAAAAAACTCAACCTACCCAGCCAACAAGCTCCATTATCACCAAGGCCCCTGCAGACCCCACTCTTCATGAGACCACTTTTCTGTCTCTTTCCTTCTTCTAATCTTTTCCTGTTAAAATAAAGCATCCTTCTTCCCAGACACCTCAAGTCAAAGTTGTCAGAGCCTGGAAACCCTAGGCCAACGTGCAATCCAACCTGCTCCAATAGGCAGGGTTTTTTTCCTGCCCACACCACAGTTCCCACCCCCGGGGGCACCCTATCCCATTCTCAACCCTAAGAACCCTATAATTCCGGGCCATTTGTTACGCTCTTTTAAAAACAGTATCCTTGCCCATTCTGGAAGGATGAACAGAAGGCCTAGAAGCCACTCACCTTCTGGAAAGGCTTTTGTGTTGCCCAAGAAACAAATTATCTAAACTAGTGCCAGAGAGAGAGAGAGAGAGAGAAAGAGAACCAGTTCTCAGAAAGACAAGTTCTTTCTCTGTCTCTGTAAGTTCCTCTTTCATGTCTCTCCCCAATCCTTACACTGCCCCTCACCAAAACAAAAAATGAAAACAAACTCAGAAAGAGATAGGCATTAACACCTCTAGCTAGGGAAGGATTTGTATCATGGTGGGGCAAATCCTGGGTGTCTGAGCAAGGAACCTCAGTCCTCCTACCCAGCCCTGAGCCCTCCCCCTTCCCTGGAACTTCCCCCTACCTTCAAGCTCACCAGGGCCCCTCCAGGCTGACACAGAGCCTAGCTGAACCTCCCCCCAACCTCCCCTGCCCCCACCAGGCCTTGCTTACTCATTCTCCCCAGGCTGGGGAAGATGAGCTGCTTTACTCAATAGCCCAGGACCCCCTTTAGGAGGTTGGTCGCTGACCTTTGGTGTTAGGAGAAAAGAGCTCATACTGATTAATCCCTAGGTGCTTTGCGTGGTTATCTTGCTAGATCTCCCAAACAATCCCCGTTTTACAGATGAGAGAACCGAGACTCAAAACAGATCAGTAGGGGCGCCTGGGTGGCTCAATGGGATGAGCATCTGACTTTGGCTCAGGTCATGATCCCAGGGTTCTGGGATCCCCCGCAGTTCGGCCCCCTGCTCGGTGGGGAGTCTGCCCCTCCCTTTCCCTCTGCCCCTCCCCTTCCCTCTGCCCCTCCCCCTGCTCATGTGCTCATGCGCGCAGGCGCGTGCTCTCACTCACTCTGTCAAATAAATAAAACCTTAAAAAAAAAAAGGATCAGTAGGTAAGCCAGTTTCACAGTGTACACAGTAGCAGAGCTGAAATATGAACCCACATCTGACCCCAAAACTCATGTTCTTTCCACTGTTGATTCAATAAATGTTTATTGAGGACCTTTTTATTCCAGGCACTGTGGCTCCTGCCTTCCTATCTCTCAGAAAGGGAGGCAGACAATAAGCAAAAAATCCTCATGTAATTATGAACCGTAGGAAACGCTGAGAAGCAAATGAAAACAGAGCATCACATGAGAGTAACAGCGGAGGGACTTAGCAATGCTACACACACTTTCTTGGAGCTAGAAGAGAAGGCCTAAGAAGGCCCAGGAGCAGTTGAGATTGCTCAGGGAGGTCTGGAAGAACAGCTGAAGAGCCTGGGGTCTGGGCTGGCATCCCCTGACCTACCGTGGGTGGTTCAAGGCTTGGTTCGCTCACAGGCCCTGCCCCCCAGGGTCCTAACCTTGCGTTCACCCCGCTCCACAACATACACAGCCGTTCACTCTTCAGGGTTTCCTTCCTTGCCATCTCCAGAATCTCTGTCACCAGATAAAGGTCTGCTCTCATTCTCTGGATTGATTGCAACAAAGTGGGGAGTCTTCTCCTCAGCTTCCTGGAGGGAGCAGAGCGGGGGATTAGAGCTCAGGATCCCAGGAGCCCCACCTGCCAGTGACATTTCTCCCTCTCCTTCAGCTAGTTCCTATTTGAGATGGAGGGTCTCTGAGGCTGGAAAACCAAGGCACATGGCACCCCATCATAGTTCACTGTACCCACGGTAGGGGCAAGGAAGTAGGAGGTGGGAAGGGAACTCAGTAGCATCTCTGGAAGATTATAGTGTGCCAGCACCATGAGATACTCCCCACATCGTTTCGCTGCCCCCTCACCACAATGCTATGATGTAGGCAGAACTGCACCCATTTCTCATGAGGAAATTGAGGCCTAGAAACAGGTTGTGAATGGTCCAGGGTCACACAGCTAGGAAGTGTAGAGTTGGAATTCAAACCCTAGTCTGTATGAGTCCAAAGCATGGGCCCTTCCCATGGCACTGAGACAGGCATTTTCCAAGGTCATAACACCCACTTCTCTGAGATGGGGCTCCAATTCCTCACGTTGGTCCCTGGGACCTGGCCACACTGTCCACAGCCCTGGGCTCCAGAAGACATCTTTGATTCCATAAGGATATAAAAATAGCTTCATGGAACTTTATCCAAATTTGCAACCAAAAGACCCTCAGATCTGGGCAAGCACAGATCTGGGCAACTCAGACCTACATCCTTGCCTCTGCTAAACTCCCTCTACCTAATAACCTCCCCCTAATTCTTTATACACACACACCACAGAGCTTCATTCTAGAAACAACAGGCATTCTAGAAAAAACTGAGCTCCCTTAGAAAAACTCCAAAGACCCCTCCCCAGCAACACTATGGTAGGGAGGGGTAGTTCAAAGGACCAGTAAAATTTCAGTGTAAGCCTTTCATTTTTTAATTAAAAAAGGAAAACAAAAGGCATCACCGCACTCAAGGAGGGCTAGCCCTGAACAAGGTTGAGTCTCACCACTCTCAAGGAGGGCTAGCCCTGGAGCAAGGCTGAGTCTCCTCCCTTGAGCTGCTCCACAGTTTCCGACAACTTCAGCAGGGAAAGAAAATACACCAACAACAAAATCCCTGCTGAGGGGGAAGGCTGGTGATGTCCCTCTAAGTCCCTTGGAGGCACCATGCCCAGGGCCATCAGAACCTCTGTGGCGCTCTGTGAGCACTACCCTGGTGGGGTGGGGTGGTGGCAGTTTCTGTGCAGGAAACATTCTGTGCAGGAGTACTTTGATTTCATTGCCCTTCATTTCGGCTGTCATACTGAGCACCTACGGCACGCTGGGGATAAACACAGCGGTTAGTGAAGCCAGTCCCGCCCGGTCGCGAGGGAGGCAGCATGGCTTGCCACAGGCAGAGTGAAGCTGCACAAAGCACAGATCTGGGCAACTCAGTAGGAGAACAAGGAGAGTGGCCTCTTGAAACCAGCAGGTTTTGGTCCAAGTCGGAGGAATCAATCACCCTGGAGGCTAGCAGGATGCGACTGAGTTGGGGGTGTCTGAAGGTTTCCTGGAGGCTGATCCAGGAAAAATGAGAAGGCTTCCTGAAGGGGTAAGAGGATGGCAGGCTGGAGTGAGGAGCGGGCTCGGGGAGGCTTGGGAGTAGGGCGTGAGGGGCTGCACCGGCCGGGACATCTTCACCTCAGATGCCCGCGGTGCTCCAAATGGGCGCTCCCCCTCTTCCTCCCCACGCTGCCCAACACCAGCCTCCCAGTGCTCAAGAGAATCCAGACATTGTTGGGGTATCCGGGGCTCCAATATCTTGACTCTCTGCTTGTGGGACCTGTGGAAGGCCCCTACAGTTGTTATTTCTTTGGGCAGTTTCACTGTCAACATTCCCTTTGAGTCTACCATGTCCAGAACTTGGAACTCAGCCTTTGGAGTTTTCTGGGAAGAGAAGGGTAAAGGTCACGCTGAGGCTGACCCGTACAGAGGAGGAAGAGCTTCTACTGCTGGGGGGCGGGAGGGAAGGGCTGGATCTCCATAGAAACATGCATTTTGGAACTGGTGGAAATGTGACAGAACTGGAAACAGTGCCTCAAATCCGTCCTATGTATGTGACACTAACGCCCGGGCCCATTTGTTTCTTGAGCAATGTACAAGTCTGCATGTACTTTGTCCAAGAGGAAAGAGAAATGAAACGTTACGCACAAAAACAGTACAGTATGGAGAAGGGGAAAAAAGGCTAACTTTACGGGAGAGAAACTTTATTTTTTTTTATTTTTATTGTTATGTTAATCACCATACATTACATCATTAGTTTTTGATATAGTGTCGGGAGAGAAACTTTAGATAAACACCACGTCAGCCAGGTGACCAAGGTCAACACCAACAGTGATCAGTCATGTTGATAGCACATCCCCTTGCTATGACGCAGTGGGAATGGCACTTTACCTCCGTGGTCTCCCTCCCCAAAACCCATTGCCTCCATCTAGCCGTGAGAAAAAAACATCAAGCAAGGGCGCCTGGGTGGTTCAGTTGTTAAGCGTCTGCCTTCGGCTCAGGTCATGATCCCAGGGTCCTGGATTGAGCCCCACTTCAGGCTCCCTGCTCAGCGGGAAGCCTGCTTCTCCCTCTCCCACTCCCCTGCTTGTGTTCCCTCTCTCGCTGTGTCTCTCTCTGTCAAATAAATAAAATCTTTAAAAAAAAAAAATCAAGCAAATTCCAGTAGACAAGCATCCTACAATATCCCTGACCAGTCCTCCCGAAAACTGTCAAGGTCATCAAAAATAAGGAAAGCCTGAGAAATTGGCAGAGCCAAGTGAAGCCTCAGGAGATAAGATAACTAAAGCTAATGTGGTATCGTGGATGAGATCTTGGAACAGAAAAAGGATATTAGGTAAGAACCAAGATAACCAGAGTGAAGTATGTGGACTTTAGTTAACGGGAAAACAAAACAAAACAAAAACCTATGCACACTTTAACCATACCATCAGCACCATATAGTTAAAAAATAAATAATCTTTCATTTGTAAGGGTTTTTTTTTTTAAGTTTGGTTTCACCTCTGCCTCTGAATTTTTTATGCAAACAGATAAGACTTTCCCTTAAAGGAAGTTAACAGACTTAGTTGATTTTTTTTCTGTACTTAACGCTTTCCCCTGCCCATGGAGAGTAATATGATCATGGCAAAACATCCGAATCCTAGTTTAAAGTGTTTTTTTTTTTTCCTGTTTTCAATGAACTGGTCATTTAGCAAACTGTTTTTTGTTTTTTTGGTTTTCGGTTGTTTTTTTTTTTTTTTTGAGAACCAGCTTTTAGTAAATTGCCTCTTGGCAATTTGCTTCTCAGAGAATTAACTCAGAGTCTTTGAAGAATGATAACCTTGAAGTTTGCCTGAAGCCCCTCGCTTTCTTAACGAAACCCCACTTGTGGAAAGGCCCACCGCCTCCAAGTAATCTGGGCCCTGCTCTTGGTGACATACAGCCCTGCTCTTGGTGACATATGGCAGTGCCTGGCACATGGCAGGTGCTCTAAAACTGTACAGTGGTACTCTTCAGATTCTTTTCCATCTCTTGGTGAGATCCAGAGGGGCTGTAGCAGAGATGTCTGAGCCGGAGAAGTCCTCACCCTCAGGTGTGAGACACTGAAATAAGTCTCCCAGTGAGGGTTCAACAGCACTTACCCTGGGGCTTCTGAAATCCAAAAAAACTGAGTTGGGAGGCAGGGGGATGGAACAGATTCCTCTATAAATCCTGCAAGTCCTTAGGGAGTCCTGGTCACCTACTTAGGCATGATCTCCAGGGAATTGGAGGGATAACAACCAGCAGCAGAAGGATGGGGCTGAACTATGACCGCATGCTCCTTCTGCACAGCCACTGTGATAAATGATTTACCTAATTTGTCTCATTTGATTTTTGCAAGTCTTCTCAATTTGACAGATGAGGAAACAGACTTAGAGGGAGAAAGGAACTTGTCCAGGGGTCACCCAGCTGGTAGGAGGCAGAGCCAGGCTTAGAAACCAGCTGCTCTCGGCTCTAAGGCCTGTGTCCTTTCTTAACCACTAAGCAAACTGCCTCCGTTTATTTACCCATCTAAATGATAAACATATAAACACACCGGAAGACCTCAGCTAATTTAAAAGTGAATTATTTACAAAGGGGAAAACATGGGAAAGGAAGACAATTTAGGAATAATTGCCAATAAAAATAAATTTCCACTAAAAGAACAGGGGAAAGTTCCTTTCGCCCCATGCATATTTTTTTGTGCATTTTTTTTTAAGATTTTATTAATTTATTTGAGAGAGAGAGAGACAGTGAGAGAGGGAACACAAGCAGGGGGAGTGGGAGAGGGAGAAGCAGGCTTCCCACTGAGCAGGGAGCCCAATGCGGGGCTCGATCCCAGGACCCTGGGATCATGACCTGAGCCGAAGGCAGATGCTTAACGACTGAGCCACCCAGGCGCCCCTTGTGCATTTCTTTTGTGCATTTTTTCAAGTTTTTATTTAATTCCAGTTAGTTAACATCTTTTGTGCATTTCTTACACTGAGGAGTATGGACATGTGCACACAGGACATATGTTCTAGAACATACAAGTTCTCTGCTGGCTGGCTGCCGTGCTTGCTGGCAATGGACAGTTGACAGTGTGCTAGATAGAGCAGGAGTGTGCAAAGTCTCCTGGCTGGCCATCTCTTACCCCTCACACTGACCTTGGGGCCCAAAACCCAGCTTATCAAAAGCCCTTCGCCCTTCCCTCTCTCCAGTATGTCCTCTAGGGTGAGGTCTGTCCTGTGGTATTGGTGCCCCCAGAAATTTCTCCTCCCCCTCACCAGAGAGCAGCAGTGAAATCTGTCAGCATCAAGGATGCTTCTGACAGCAATCATATCCCCTCCAGCATCCATCTCTTGGACCACAACTCTTGGGATTTCCTCAACTACGCTCCACATTGTGCCTGGACCAACCGGAGTAAAAGAAGCTAGTATCAGTTTGGGGGAGGGGGATATTGGTTCAGGTTTTTAAATCTACCTTTGGCAGCCTGGGGTCAATGAAGACCCAAAAGTTCTAGAACAATCAGGACTTGGAATTATTTGCCTTCCCTGTTTCTAGACGGTGAGGTGGTCACTACACACTAAGGAGGGTGACCATCACAAATGTTAGATTCTCCTCTGTCCTTTAGAGAACGCTTCTGGAGGAAAGATGGAGATTACCCCAAATGGAAAGGAGAGCGAGACCTATTTTCTGCATCTCCCACAGCCGAGTTGCCCTTTTGCTCAGAGGGGCCTGAGGGGTAGGAAGGCAGGCTCACCATCTTCCAGCTAGAGCCCCACCAGTGTTGGTGAACAGAGGACCCAGGAAGGGGTGCCAGACCTCACATTGCCAACCCCAATGATTACTTCTTCCCTTGGCTCTGACTCCTGGGCCTCCCTCCCTTGCTGTGGTCTGCAAGTCAGTGGCATGGGTGTTCTTACCCACCGTCTCCCAATTAGATAGTGGTAAGTCGGCCTCAGAAGGAAACAAGAGACAAAGGATGGAGCGTAAGAGCGGCTTGGGGGTGGGTGCCCTGTGTAGCCCCCCCATCCCCAGGTCCTGTCTCTTCAGTTACTGGTCAGCCTCTGAAGGGTTCCTTTACTCTGGGTAAAATAAAATGAATCCCAAAAGCCCACCTGGGGCATCTCCCCCACCCACTCTCCCCTTCACCCACTCCTGATCTACAATTGGCCCCTGTACCTCTCTAGTGCCCCATGTGGGACCCTCCATAAGCCCATTACCAGTGCAGCCTGCCACATGCAGCTGGTCCTTCCCTGTTTCTACTCAGCAGGAGCTCTTTGTCCCCACCACAATGGACCCTTCAGGCGCTCTTACCTCCAAATCCTTCTTTTTTTTTTTTTTTAAGATTTATTTATTTATTTGAGAGAGAGAGAGAGGCAGAGGGAGAGAGGGAATCTCAAGCAGACTCCCCACTGAGTGCGGAGGCTGACGCAGGGTTCAGTCTCACAACCCCGAGATCATGACCTGGGCCAAAATCAAGAGTCAGATGCTTAACTGACTGAGCCACCCAGGTGCCCTGCCAAATCCTTCTTTCTCTCCCCTTCCATCCCTCTGCAACTCCTTCCTCTTGAGATCTCTTTCCCTTTCTTCAGGCTCCTCTGCTTTCCTCCTGGGGCCAGGACTCCCCTCACAAGCTTTCTGGGCTCCGCCTCCCCATCCTACGTACTTCTGGCCACCTTCCCCTAAGTCCTTTCTGGCTGGCCCAGGCACCTACTCACCCATCATGGTGGCCAGCTCTCAGCTCACTCCCAGCCTGGGAATTCTTCTGGGTGCCCAGAAAGGCAGTGCCCGGGACCCACAGGCCCATCCCAGGGGCCACTCACCTCAGCTGCTCACCAGGAATGGCGGCTGTGAGAATCCCCTCTGTAAGATCCCTGCACAGGTGCTGGCCACTGTGTCTCAGGAAGCCCTAGGAAGGGAACTGAAAGAACTGGAAAGCTGGGTAGGGCTAGGGGCCCCACCTCTCGGGCGTTCAGATAAGTCCCGTTCTGGCTGGGCTGGAGGTAGATAAGGCCAGCCGTAAGAAACTCTTCCTTCCTCTTGGGCTCAGGGAGCAGGACAGAGAGATACCTATGTATTCACCTGGTGCGTATCCGAGGTGTGTTTGGGCCAGAGAATGGTGCAGAAGGAGGCATACTGGGCCTCCAATCCAAGTGCAATCCAAGTGTCAGCAGGCAACGGCTGTGGCTGTGCCGGGCATATGAGGAGGGCCGAGGTCGAGCTGGAACCAGCTACCAAAATGCCATGCTGTGGTGGGCAGGGCTGGAGACCGAGAGCAAGAGCCGCTGACCGCTGAGGGGAACAGGCCGGCCAGCAAGGAGGACTCGGCCTCCATCCCAGCCTGGGAATTCTTCTGGGTGCCCAGAAAGGCAGTGCCCAGGACGCGCTCCCCCGTAGCCCTCTCGGAGGTGCGCCTCCACCTGTGTTCTCCACCCACCTCCGTCTCCAGGCAGAGGCCTCTGGCCCCCAGCCCTCAGTCCTCAGAGATAACCACCGAGTGAGCCTGGCCTGTCTTCTGGGCCCCGCTCCAAAGCAACGTTTAAGGAGATGATCGTGGTAGTAACAACAGGAATCATGCTAATGTGGCTACCTCGTATGAAGTACTTACTAGGTGCCAGGTGTTGTGCTAATCCTCCCAACAGCCCTGACACGGATTATCCTCCTAGCACAGAGGAAGAAACTGAAGCTCACAGAAGTGAGGCCACAAGGCCGCTAAGTGGCAGAGCAGGATTTGACCACCGATGATTGTTGATGTGCGCCAGCCCCTCACCCTGACTGCACTCCTGCAAGTGCATGGAAGCTCCCAGGGCACCCCCACCCAGGGGGCCGTATCGCTCCGCCCAGCGCTGTGTGGGCCTCCCTCGGTGCACTTGGGCAAAGACCCCGCGCTCTTCCCAGCACCCACTCCAAGGACACTGACACTGGCCCAGAGCCAGAGAGGGGCCCAGACTGCCCGGGGCGGCTCCTCCCTTCTACCTGGGACCCAGGAATAGCACCTGGTCCTGCAGAGAGAGCACACAATGAAAGGCCCAGAAGCCCAAAGATCAGAGTTCCTTCACTAAAGGGTTCCCTCCTTTCCTGGCCCTGTGAGCCTAAACAAGTCCTGGAGGCTTACCTCCTCCCTCCCCAACCCCCCACTCACTCTCCGGAGGAGGGGAGGCACAGGTTCCCCTGAAGGCAGAAAGGCCAGGAGGAAATGCAGCGCTCCCAGGGAGGGAGCACTGAGGGAAAAGAAGTGAGACCAGGGGAAGGCATCCTGAGGAAAGGACTGGGCACCCCTCGGGACTCAGCTTCATTCACGAGTCACTGATCCCCTTCCTGGCCATGACAGCCTGGCGCAGCCAGCCCCAGGAGACCAGAGGTGTAAGTTCAGACCGAGGAACCGGCACGAAGATCAGAGAGCAGAACCCTGCCCTCTGGCCTGCAGCTGCCTCTGCCAGTTCCCTCCCAGCCCCTCCGACTGGCTCTGCCGGGGAGGGCGGGGAGGGCGGGAGGGCGGCAGCAGGAAGAGCCGCAGCCCCAGAGCCCCGGCCTCCATCTAGGCAGAGGGTCCCTCCATCTAGGCAGAGGGTCCCGATGCTCGCACACTGGCCTCAGCAGGAGCTGTGGCCCAATCTCCTGCCCCCTCCCCCGGGGCCCTCCAGGAAGCAGCCAGACTCAGGGGAAACAGAAACACATTGTCCTTTATTTGCATTTCTCAGAATACTGTACAAAGGGAGTAAAAATCCTATTCACACATTGCTTAGAAAGATTTTGAGGTGAAAGTTCCCTATGACACACGGGATGGGGAGCAGGGGAATCGGGAGGCAGGAAACTGGACCAATGACCTCCCCTCCTCCCTCAGGGCCCTGGGAGGCGGGGCATGGGCACCCACACCTTTTCAAAAGTAACCCAGACCCTGGTCGGATCAAGCAGGGGAGAAAGCAGCCCCTCTCCAGCCCACACTCAGGCCCCTGCCCCACATCTCCCGGCGGCAGCTGAGGAGACAGCGTCCGCAGGTCACTCCTGGCTCCTTCCGCTACCCCGCCTGGGCAGGGACCATTCTGTGGCCCACGCCCCCCGTTTGGGGGTGGCCCCAGAGCCCCACAGGTACACGCCACACAAGAGGCCCTGCACCAGCTCCAGTCTGCATGAGGAGAAGGTGGAGGATGCACAAGAGCCCTACCACTCATCACATGTCCCAGTTTCCCCACGCCCCTCACACCACCGCACAAGGCAGTGTCACACTGGACCGGTGCTAACGATGACTCACAGGCCTCTTCCACCCCTCCCCACCCCTCACGCTGATGCGGGAGCTCTAAACCCCCCACAGGCTCCTGTCCTATTATCACCACCAGGCTGTGGGGAAGCCTCTGAGCCTGCCCCATCCTGTCCACTTCCCAAAGACTGAGGTTAGGTCTGGCTTCTATCCCCATCCCCCTCCCTTACACCAATCTCTGCTGCTGTGTGGCCCCCTATTTCATGTCTCAATTTTCCATCCCCACCCCTGCCCCAACCGCCCTCCCCACCTCCACCAGGGCCAAGATGAGAGTGGACGCAGCCCCCTCACCTCTGGGGCCAGGCCATCCACACCCAGCCCCGCCATCCCTCTCCTTACCCTCCCCACTCCAATCCAGTACCCAGGGTGGGTGGGAGGGGAGCTGCCAAAAGCATGAGACTTGCAATAGTCAGTTCTCTACAGAGAGGAATGAGGCACCGTCATGCGCTTGCTTTTATATATACGAGCACACACTGAGCGTCATCCTAAAGACTTATGAATTAAAGTGAAACCATCCAGAAGCTGTACCGTAACCCCCTGCTCCCCTTGCAGGGGTTAAAGTGCTTTAGCAGTCTGAGGATGAGCAAGTGAGCAGGGGATTTCTCTTGTCCCAACCTCACATGTCTGCATTCAGCCGGGAGCCCAGCCCATTCCATGACTGCCCCCACGAAGTCTCTATCCAAAAGGCAAAAGGAAAAGATCAAAAAAATCAGAAAGGGTCAGAGACCTGGGGGGGCCCACCCGAACCCCACTACAAGCTACTTCAAGTCGGCTACCGGGGGAAGTGAGGGGGGAAACTAGGGCCCAGAGGCTCAACCCCCATCTCTAGCAGGATCCAGAGGCTCCTTCTGTCTTCAGCATCACAGCACAGGCTCCTACTCCTCCCCCCGCCAGCCAGACAGGGGAAGGGGCTGCGCCCTCAGTACTTATTGATTCCAAAAATCCGGACTCCGTGGAGCTGGGGCAGCTTGGGGATGAGCACACTCATCAAGGACACAGTGTTGAGGATGAAATGGATCTGGTCATACTTGGTATAGAAGCTGGTGAGGAAGTACCTAGGTGGGAAGGTTGGGAAGAGGCGTAAGACTCTGTTTGGAGGACCCCTTCCTCCCTCACTCCTGGGTGGGGAGTGGCAGATCCCTGATAGCTGAGGAGTTATGGGAAAGACCCCCAGAACAGAAGCAGGGTGGCAAGATCACCCCGTTAAAGAGGTCCCTCCCAGCCCAGTCCCCATGCTTGACCCCAGGTCTGTGGGCTTACATCACTGGTAGGCAGGAAGGCCCATTTGGTGAAAGACAGGGCCAGGGAGGCGCAAGGCCTGAGCCCAGCAGAGGACCCGGGGATACTCCAAAGTCCCTTCCTCCGCCCATGCCAAAAGCCAGAGCCGGCGGCAGGTTTAAGCCTGGCAGGGCCCAGGGTTCCCCAGGCCTTGGCCTGCCTGCTGGCGTCCTTCTCTACTGAAGGCACTCACAGCACGATGGGTGTGATGGTTAAGAACTTCCGAGACGCTGTGAACTGGACCCCATAGTCCATCTGCTCCCAGTGGGTTAGCAACCTCGCCTTGCCCTGGTCCGGAGTCTCGAAGGGTGTCCCCTTCACCGTGTGCAGGAAGATGTACATGCCCTGGAGGGAGGGGCCTTCGTTAGAGGACACAAAAAGCAAAAGGCCCTCCAGCTCAGCTCCTCCACCCCAAAAAAGTGGGCTCTGGGTTATGTGGAGCCGCCCTCTGAGGGGCAGAGGGCTGTGGGCTGGAGGTCAGGATGGAGCAGCTGGGAGCCTGGCAGGAGACAAAGGGGACCCACTGGGTGAGAGCGCAGGCCTGGCATGAGGATAAGGCATGGGGAGAACTTAGCTGCAGAAATGCCCCTCTGGCCCAGTGTAAGCTTCCCTGTGCCAGAGAGCTGGGGTCGAGCGGATGGCCCCTGCTTGCCTGCCAGAGTACAAGCTAGCAAGCAGGGGCCAAGGGAGCAGAGGGGCTGGAGTAGAAGATGGCTGGAGATCTGGACTCGGGGGAGGGGCATTTCTGTGCCGGGCTGGGCGCCTGGGTCCTGGGGACTCTCTGGAGCCCTTAGTTCAGCTCCCAGTGGCCCTCCCGCCAGGTCCCCAAGCCATCCCATGCTGGAGATGTGCACAAATCGGCAGGTTGTCATCCTCAGAGTGCATGCGGCTGGAACCCAGAAGTCGGGGGGGAGGAAGAGATGAGAGGTGCGTCCAGGCTCCAGTGACAGATGTTGTCAGCACGTCACCCTGACATCTGGCCCACGTCTGGGGGGGCTCCTCCGACTCCTCAGCCCCACCAAAGAGCAGCCCACATGCCCGGGCAGGCAGCAGGCAGGCCCTCACCATGTTGTGGATGAGGTTGGTGAGGGTCCAGACAACAGGGACGCTGACAAAGGGGATGCTGAGCAGCACGACATGGAGAAGCCCGATGGCCAGCACGTAGGACAGCCAGATGCCGCGGCTGTTCATCACCCGCGTGTTGGGGTTCACCTCACTGTGCGCCGTGCCCACGTTCATCCTGCCGCCCCTCTCGTGCCGCTGCTCTGCAAACAAGCAGCACGGGTGAGACAGGTCATACCACTTTCCCTGCCCCCTCACGCCACCCAAATCCCTCAGGGAGGGAGGCTCTGCTCTCCCCAGGAACTCCGGGCAGTTTGGCTTTGATTCTCAAGCAAGGAGGCCCAAGAAAGGCTGGGTGGACTTAACTCCATTCATTTCCCACTGCGCTCGACTGGGATAAACACCAGGCCGCCCCCACGTTGGCCAACCCGGACGGTGCCCCTCCAGGCACTGGGACTGCCTGGGTGGATAGGTCATCAAGAGGCATCCAGCCCAGAGCAAAGAAACCACTGCCTGTTCCCCAATCTCATCTTCCAGAACATTCCCATGAGGGCCCTCTTCCCACAAGGTCCAGGGGAGGGGAGAAGAGGCCTATCCCTTCAGAATCACGCAACATAACCCCTCTGGACTATCTTGCTGAGGGCCTGATATGGGGCATCTCCTATCTCTGAGCTCCCTGCACCATTAGAATGAACAAAAGGGGGTGGGGCCCATGAGAACAGGCAGCAGTAGATGCAATATATAGGGGTCATTGCTTCTACCCTCTCCCCTAATTCTCCAATCCTGGATTTCTCCCAACCCTGATCCAGGAGAACTGACAAGAGTGGAAAGAGGGAGAGAGGGAAAAGAGAAGACAAAAGACTAGGGACAACCTCTACCCAGACTTGGAGGCCTTTTTCTTGGTGACACAAAACAACCCAGGCAAGATGTTTTATCCTTTTGACAGCCACTCAGGCTAACCCTTGTGATGCCACCCACTCTGCTGCCAAACCACCAGTGCCCTTTTCCCCACCATCGGAGGGGCGAGGATGGAGAACGTGGCCAACATCTACAGCTCCCACGAGTCGCTCAAACCCACAATAACACGCCTCTCCCAAGGACATAAAAACCACCCCTGCGGCCTGTTTCCTGCCCCCTTTCCTCTCTGCCCGGCCCAGCCTCACCTCAGCCTCTTTCCCCAGCACCTGCACCATGCTTTCCTTGCCCACCTCCAGTAGCAGAAGTCCTGCAGCAGGAGGAACCAGGAGGGCTGCCCTTGATGCCCCAGAAACAATACAACCCAGCTGCATTTCTGGATGCACATAAGGAGGGGAATGAGCAGCCCCTTGTCTAGAGTTCAGCTGTCCCCAGATCCCCAAGGGCCCTGGAACCAGTAGGAGGTGGGAACAGACTGCCTTTGTACTGGCTCACCTCCCTAGGTGAGGGCAGGTCCTGCCTGATAAAGACCTTAGGTCATCACCATGGAAACAACCCTATCTTTCCTGGGGGTGCAGAAAGGGGTCCCGGATGGGGGTATCCGGAAAGTACCCAGAAAGCCATCTCCCTCACCCTGCTGCAACAACCCCCCTCAGATTCCGCTGCTATCTATCTCTGGCTAGGATCACAGCCAAGCCTGTGTGGGAGCCAGGATTCTCAAGGATCAGTTCCTTACTTCCAGAATAATGAGAACAAATTTCCTCTTCTCAGGGAGCTCTAGGCTAAGAGACCTCAGGGGAAATGTGACCCACAACACACTTCCCAACATGCAAACATGCGTGAGATGGCCCAGGGTGCATCCTAGAAGTAATGCTCCTGGGGCCCATCAGCTCAGCCCAATAGGCCGGATAATTGGGCCTAACAGAAACCCAAGGAACTAGAAAACCGGGACTGGCTCGGTTGTTTACCTTCCCAGGGCCTTGGAGTTTCAGTTGCCCTAACAGGGCTCCTGGGTCGCGTACTACGCAAAAGACTGGGGCGGTGGGGAGCTGGCTAAGAAGTAAGGCCTCTGAAGGACTTACTACTAAGGAGAGAGGCAGAGCTCCCCAAGTCTGACCAGAAACTGCTGTCCCTCCCCATTTCTCCCTAACCTAGATAAACAAAGGTGTAGGAGTGCAGAGACCTGTAGCTGTCCCTGGTATTTTGTCTAGCAGTACCAAGGGCTTTGCTGAATCCCAGATCATCCTACACTTCTTTCTTGCTGAGACAGGGCATCCAATGAAGATCAATGAGTCTAGGAGGGGCCTAGACTTGGGACCTAACTGGTACCCTCGGAAGCGTCTTCCTGAAGACTGAACACTAGTTGCCCTGACAGCAGAAATCCCAGAAGACCCCCCCAAAAGACAGAAGAAATCAAGAAACTAAGAAAATGATTGGCAGCCAGAAAGCACTCCTAAGGTTTGTGTGACTAAGGGTACATATCACTTCCGTTAGTAAAACAAAACAAAACAAAAAACCCAATCGCCCCTCGCCCAGAGTAAAGAAATGGGGAGAAGAGCCTGGCAGAGGCCGAGTGAGTCTACAGCGGCTGAGGCTGAAAAGTTCTGTTGCCCTAGCTGGCAGGGGGCTGCCCTGGCAGTGCCTGATATGGTTTCATAACCTGCCTCAAACCAAAGCCTGCAGCAACTCCGTTCTGTTAACTACTTTCATGCTGGTAGCTCTTTTCTACTCCTTCCCTCCCTTCCCCCCCCAGCTCCGCACACAAATATCCCTGCCCAACCTGTCAATCTGGCATCTAAGCCTGGGCCACAGTGCGCCCCAGGACAGCTTCCAGGTGAGCGCTTCCCATTCTTTCCCCCAAGTAAGGGCAGCCCTTTAAGCAGCAAACCTTTTGCCTTCTAGAGGAGGAGCACAAAACATCCAAGCCCAACGGGGAGACCCTGGCAGCATTCCACAATGCCATTTTCATCGTGCCCACCGCCCAACCCGCAGGGCCACAGTCGCTCACCTCTCAGCTCGGGCCCTGCCTCCCGGACTCGCGAGGGCCGTGGGAATGGAAAGACGGCGAGTACCGGGGCGAAGCCCCACTAGCTGGGGAAGAGGGTGGAACGAGGAGGTGGAGTCTACGCTATTGTTGGGCTTTTCGGCGCGGGACCTCAAGCAGAAAAGGGGCCTCCCGCTCCGCTCCCCAGCCTGGGACCTCGCACTCGGAGCCCGGCCCGGCCCGAAGCCCCACCCCCACCTCCACGCGTTCACCCAGCCCTGGAGGCGGCCAAACCTTTATCCCCGAAGCCGAGCCTCTCCCCGCCCCCTCCCCCGGCCCGAGCACTCCTCCCGACACACTAGACTCGGTCTCCCCCCGCCACTTTCCTCTGTGGGCATCCCTTCGGCTGATGCACCCCCTCGGCTGATGCACCTCCTCCCACCTCCGCTCACCCTGCCCAGGTCCCCTTCAGCCCGGGGCGCTTCCCCAGCAGCCCCCACCTTCTTTCCCGCGCCGCCTCTAGCCCCAAGAGGAGGCTCCCGGTTCGGCCACCCCGAAGCCGCTCGCCCGGACTCACCGTACAGGGCCGGCGGTCTAGGGCCCAGGAGGGGTGCCTGGGGGCCGGGGCCGCGGCTGCTCCAGCAGCTGTAACAACCCGCGGCGGCAGCCACCCCGCTGGCAGCTCGGGCCGAATCAGCGCCCCGCGCCAACCCCCATGACGTCACCGCCCAGCGCCGGCCCGCCGGGTGCCTCCTGGGAGTTGTAGTTTCTCCCTTTGCCCGCGTACGGGCCCGCCCGGTGCCTCCTGGGAGTTGTAGTTTTCTTCCCCCCTGCTGCAGTTTTGGCCTCGCTGGAGCCGCAAGGCCAGACGTTTCAATAGCACGCGAAACTGACATCAGATGGTATTGCTTTGGCGTGTAACAATTCCTACTTTTGCGTCCGCGCGCTTCAAGCGCGGTTTACTCTTGCCTGGTTTTGAGATCAGGAAATTCAGTTTTAAGTGACTTACCATAGGTGCCTGCTGGGTCCCAGTAGGGACCAAAACCCGGAGATTCTGACCCCACGTCAGAGTTTTTTCATACACCTCGCTGGCTCTGCCCTGGCCATATATTGGCTCCACGAGAAACAGACTAGCCGGGTCTATTGCCCTGGCAGGCCTTCCTGGAAGCTGGCTTCTCACAACGTTGTTTAGGAGCAGAGTCTGGAGGGCAGAGAATGCAGCCTACGGACAGCATTTGTCCAGAGGCTGGCTACCCTTCAGTTAACTTGAGCCAGGCTGCCAGCCCACATCCTCGACCACCCCACATTAGGCTTCAGAAGAGGCCACGTGTCTTGGGAAGACTCCATGATAAATCGTTAGGAGCCTGAATTCTACTCCCAGGTCAGCCTGTGTGGCTTTGGGTGGGAGGCTCCACCTCTCTGGGCCACAAATTTCTCACTTGCATGTCCCATAGTCAAGGGCACAGATTTTATTGCCAGGCCAGCATAACATAGGCACTCCTTTACCAGCAGTGTGACCCTGAGCAAATAACTTGTCTTCATCTCCAATTCCACATCTATGAAACCCTATCTCCAAGGTTGTGTGAATTCAAAAGAATGTAGGTAAAGCACCTGTTGCGTTGTAGGAAGCTATTCTGTAGGGAGTTGAACTAAATGGCCCTGAGGTCTCCTGGGTCAGTCCCACTCTCCATGTCACCAAAAAGGCCTTGTTTGAGTCATTTTCACTGCCCCCACCCAGCTTCTAAGTCCACTCTGAACCGCAGGGCTGGAATAGCAGGGTCAGATGATGTCATGACATGCCAGCCTGACTGGCTGTAAGCACAGCCTGATTGAATGTGAGGGGCCAGAAAGGAGAATGCTGGCCCAGGGAAACTGGGGAGCACTTCCCTGAGACCTCACCTGCCCTTCCCCAGGTGACTGCCAGGAAACAGTCATCACAAAGCTGGAGGAGGCCCCCAGAGGCACCTAGTGGGAAGCAAGTGGATATCTGAACCACTTAGACCAGGAGAACAGGAAGCTTCTCAAATATTTCCAGGGCCAATGGCCAAAGAGCGCTCATCCCAAGACTTAAATAATCACCCCAGAGTCTGAAAAAGTTCTACCTTATACAAAAATTTCTCCTGCTTCGTGGGAGCCCCTTTTTTGTAGTCAGCCTTCTGAAGACATAAGCAAACAACTGAGTATTGGCCTTTCTACAGAAACCTCCCAGCATTGAGGCAAAAAAGATGTCTTATTTTTTCCAAAGTGAGCCTGCTTGATTCTTTTGACTCTTCTCTGGAATTCTTCCATCGTCCCTCAAGTTGATCAAGCTGTCTGGATCTTTGCCAGTTTCTTCATATCTCTGTGAAGTTCAATGACCCAGACTGGATCCACGTCTCAAATAAGGGCCTGACTAATGCATAGTCTAACGGAAAGATTACCCGACATGCCATGCCCTATTAATAACTCCTGTTATCGAGTTGTTGTGTTTTTTTTTTTTTTCACAATGGGAATGAACAGAGTTCTGACTCACTCTAGGTCTGTGGTAAATTGTAGATCACTTTCTGCTTAATTTAGCCTGAGTCCCTGTCATCATCTTTCTCCTTCTTTAGCTCTCTGCCTTCGTAATTACCCTGTCTTTACCAAACATCCTTCAGCCATGAATAGGCCTAAGTACTGTTCAGAATGAGTGACAGCACTCTTATGTGGTGCTGGGGAATGCACAACCCCTTGAACAAACAACGGGTAATATGGGCCAAGAGGCTGAAAAGTCACTCGGACCTTAGAGGCATGATTACATTTCTGGTAGCATATTCTAAGGAAGTATACCCCATGTTCATTCCTGCGTTGTTGTGTTTTTATAATAGTGGAAAACAGAAAGCAAACCTAAATGCCCAAGAAAAATACTATGGAGGGGCACCTGGGTGGCTCAGTCGGTTAAGCGTCTGCCTTCAGCTCAGGTCATGATCCCAGGGTCCTGGGATCGAGTCCTACATCGGGCTCCCTGCTCAGCAGGGAGCCTGCTTCTCCCTTTCCCTCTGCCGCTCCCCCTGCTTATGCTCTCTCTCTCTTTCTGTCTCTTTCTCTCTGTGTCAAATAAATAAATAAATAAAATCTTTTTTTTAAAAAAAAGAAAAATATTATAGTATATCCATTGGATGGCATAGTGTGGTTATGGCACAATTAGTGGTTCTGGAAAACCATGGGTCAGTATGGGAAAATGTTTGCTAGGTTATATGAAAAGATCAGGGGGAAAAAAATAGCATGAGTATTCCCTGGGGATGCAGTCAGCAAAATCTAGGAAAAGGGAAACTAGAACAAACATCCAATCCCTTAACAAATAAGTTAGAAGGGAAAAAAGGAGAGGGAAAGACAGAGTAAAACAAATTAAGCAATATATCAACCAAAGGCCATATTTGGATCCTGATTCAAGCAAACTAACTTTAAAAAAAAAAAGATTTTATTAAGTTATCAGGGAAGTTTGAATACTGATACTTAATATCGATGATATTAAGGAATAATAATTTTTAAGGCATGATATGGCCTTGTGATTTTTCTAAATAAAAAGTCTTCCTTTTCTTTTGGAGATATATACTAAAATATATGTGGAGGAAATGAGTGATGACTGGATTTGTTTCAAAATAATCTGGGCTTACGGACTTGGGGGGGTACCAGAAACAAGATGGGCTGTGAGATAATTATTGACACTGAGAGATGGGGACATGAGATTCCTTATATTATTTTTTCTACTACTTTATGTTTGAAACTGTCTGTAATAAAAGCTTTTATAGGGGCACCTGGCTGGCTCAGTCGTTAAGCGTCTGCCTTCGGCTCAGGTCATGATCCCAGGGTCCTGGGATCAAGCCCCACATCGGGCTCCCTGCTCAATAGGAAGCCTCCTTCTCCCTCTCCCTCTCCCCCTGCTTGTGTTCCTGCTCTTGCTGTGTCTCTCTCTGTCAAATAAATAAATAAAATCTTAAAAAAAAGAATAAAAATAAAAAATAAAAGCTTTTATAAATCTGCATATGCAGTAACGGCGATGATAAGAAAAAACAGAGCAACACCGTTAGACCCTGGCACCAAACTGCCAGGGTTCAACAACCAGCTCCTGTACTTACCGGCTGTGTGACCTTAGGCAGGTCACTGAACCTCTCTGTGTTTCAGTTACCACGTTTCTAAAAGGAGAGGGGGATGATCATGATCATGCCCACCCTCATGTCGCTGTGAGGATTAAATGGCTCCATCAATGTGAAGCACTTCAAGCAATTTCTGGCGCGTAGCAAGTGCTCCGTGTTACATTTTATTAATCCAGTCTACCTTTGAATGATGTTTGAGCATCTACTTTACTAGGCCGTGGAAATCCAACAAAATAAAAACAGATCTTGTGTTAGGATGGAGGGGTTGGGGGCGATCTCCTTCATGCTCTAGTTTCAAACTTTGTGTAATGCGAGATTATGAGTTTTCAATTTTTTATGAAATGTGCTTGTATTTTGAAAACAGAGGAAGCCACTCTCAGAGGCTCTCCTGCTCTCTGGGAGCTCCTTAGTCTGCTGAGATAGACACATTCCCCAGCCTTGGTGTTTCCATCTGGCAGGGTGGCGAGGCCTCTGCTTGCCACAGATACAACTGCGTGGGCCGAGATAGCAAACATGGGCGGGGTCATAAGCTGGGAACACATTCCCGAGGTGATGGCGGTGGTGGGAAGTGAGGAGGTGGGGTGTCAAGAAACAGAGCCCCTTTCCTTGACCGCTGGGGGGCGGGCGGGGGAAGCAGGGCACCCCTCTACTCCTACTACCCCCTCCTCCCCTCCAATGCATTCTTTTACCCCCTTGTTTCCCCTACCTCGCCTCCCTCCTTCCTGAAGGAAGGTCACACCTAGACCAAGTGCAAAGAAGAAAAGAGCTGTTTAGTTCATTGGCAGTGGGGTTTGGGTTTGGGTGGGGGCACCCCAAGCCTGGGGTGGCAGCGGTGGGGAGGGGGCGGTGATGCTGAGCAGACAAAGAAGCACTGAGTGAGAGCTACTGAGCTGGTGAGAAACAGGGAGCACTGCCAGGGGGGCCTCGCTCTCCGCCCCGCACCCAGCCCTGTGGTTGGCTATTTGGGGCTGGACCCGGCCAGGGCCTCCAGGCCCAGAGCCAAGGCCTGGGAACCAGAACCTCTGTCTGAGAACCAAGAGCAGGGCTGTTCTTTAGACACCCCTCTATCTGCATATTCTTTGATATGGACCATTGACATTTTCTCCCCTGGGAAAAAAGTAGGCTAGACAACTGCGAATATTACAGAGCAGAAGGGCAACAGATAGGCAAACCGTGGCTTTAAGAAGAAGTCCCCTAGTGCATCCCAACCGCATTACTACCTCTAGTAGGCCCTACCTCTCTAGAAATCCTGGGGTGGCCACTGCCCCAGATCACCTTCCTCTCCTGTCTAATGCCCACTCCTCCACCAGTAATAACAACAGCTAACTTATGCAGTGTTTGCTGTGTTCCAGGTATTGGGCAGAGGGCTTCACGTGTATGAGCTCTTTTAATCTTTAAAACGGCTCTGTGCAGTAGGTATTTTTATTGTCCTGACTTTAAAATGGGAAAATTGCGGTAGAGAGTTTAAATATTCTGCCCAAGGTCACACAACTAAGGAAGTGGCATTTCTCCCAAAATCCATTCCTGGCCCCATACCTCCCGTCCACTGTGTCCCTCATGTTCCCACAG